GTTAACTGTTCCGCTGAGTTTAGCGTCGAAATGGCTTCCTCTTCGGTTCTCTTCTAAACCATCCATTGGTGAATCTACCCAACGGCAATCCGAGGCAACGCCTTCGTTTTCATCAAAGTGTAATGCGTCAGGTAAACACATTGCAGCATGTCAATAGGTCCGGGTCGAATGTTATCCTTTATCTCCTGATCATCGGCGGTTCGTGGTCGCGCGGCGATTAATGCATCGAAGGAGATAAAATGTCATATCTAATTAATGAACAGGGCAGCTTTTAGAACTGTTTTCTTCGTTAAAATATGCGCATTAATGATAATCAGTTAACAGGGAGTTCCATCAACAAGTCCAGCAAGTACCGTTGATAACACTTTGATAATTGCCGGTCCGGTCCTCATCCAAATGCAAGAAGAGGTAAAGAAATCACATTTGAATCTCCTGGCCTTCGATCACAACATCTGTTGCATTTTGTTAATCCCAGTCCCCATTCCAGCCGCAACACATTGCAGCAAAATCACCGCTGAACACAACAACAAGAGCACCGCGGCCCGTGGCGGTGGTCTTTATGGGTTGCGGTGGCAAGCAAAACGCTACCGGACATCAGTGCTTGAAATCACCCCTTTACGCATATCTTTTTCATCTGGAGATGATTTGCGAAAGCTGACCCAAACACATCAGGGCGGATACAGCTTTGAGAAAGGGGGCTGGCACACCATTGAGAAAAACCCGGACCTTCAATGGTCATTTAACAAACTTCAGCACAAAAGGGGGTCCCCCGGATCCAACTTACGCATAATCCACACCGGCACACAGCATTAACGCTGTAATGGGCCGCTGACCTGGCAGGCAGATTCACAGTTAGCCGTGCCGCCGGAAAACGGTTGCCATTTCCACAATCGATCCTCAAAATGGCCTTTGGTAAATCATCCGCATGTCCAGCACCAGCGCAGCTGGCGCCGTCCCACACCGGCACAGCTCTAAAAGGTACATAAATATGGCCCTGTCCACAGTGGCCTGCCACCGCCCGCACGACAGCGCCGCCGTTCACGACGGCGACCAACTCACTGTACAGTAGCATAAAACACCACACCGAGGCCGAAGCATGGAACAACTGAATATGGCCCCTGACAAGACCAACCCAGGTGTGAGACACAGGGTGGAGGAAGGAACACATGAGACACCCCAGTGGTCTGAATGGATTTGTTCAGACACACACACATAGCCATTTAAAGAGATAAAATATTGAATAAAGGAGCCCACAGAAAATGAGAGAACACTTGAAGATATATGGATAATATTTGAATAAGACATGGAAATAATGGAAAGACTGAAGAAAGAAATATGGATATATACACATAGAATAAATAAAATGGAAATATATGGACAAATGAGACATATAAAATATAATTTGACAATGGACGAATAAATAATGGTGGAGAAAAGAAAAACCTGGGACATGGATATAGGAAAGTGGATTGAATAATGGAAGAAGAAGGATGAACAGACCAAAAAGGAAGGAATAAAATGAAACATAAATGGAAGAAATGGAATAAAATGGAGGTTCACAGGAATGGCCCACCTTAATTCCTTACATAATGGAACTTTATACAATGACAAATGGAACACACAGAAAGAAAATCTAACAAATATATCCGATGCCGCGCTGGGAAAAGGAACACTTGTTTGAAATGTAAACAAAGCCAATCTCAGATTTCACACTGTGTATCCGGTTTCGCCTACTTTTGTTGCATACACTTGCTCATTAGTTTAGACCAAGCATGGGAAGGTATCGTTGCAAGCGATAGTTAAATATAATAGGTGTATTCCAATGATTTCTAGATACATCACAACATATTATGGTTTCTGAAAGCGTAACGCCATGACTGATGATATTTCTCCTCATTTCTGACTATTCCTTGGTCACAATGAAAACACAAAAGAAAATAAGAACTAGCAGATTGTCAGAATGTTTCAGACTACTTTCATGTCACATTTAGGCTGCTTGAAACGTTGCTTAGAAAGTTTCCGAAAAAAAATCCGGCGTACTCGTGTCAGTGAACACGCCATTTTGAGAATGTCCCTTCCCGATAAGTGATGTCATACGTACGTCAACATTGTTGTACAAATTTGGTATTTTTCAATGAGGTGAGGTTATGAATGAAAATACACACGATCAATGTATGTCTGCTGCTAACATTTTCAGTTCTTATGTTTCTTTCGTATTTTCACAAATCTTTAATCACATGATTAATTTCAGTATTATTATCTTTTGATTTGGGACTAGACAGGAGACCAGTCTAAAACCAAGTGACACAAGATACATAATCAAAGGGCGGTAACTCTTGGCCTGTTTAGCTGGCAAACAAAGGCCTCATAATGGCATAACATTTCAATACTTATTTTGAGGGTTATACTTTCATTGTTAGAAAAAATGAGTGCATATTTTCAAACACTGATATTAACTGATTAAAATATTTCACTTTGTTTCACATTATAATAAATGTGCTTTTCTCGCGGTACACTTCCCTTTTAAACGTGATTCAATCTCATGGATCGTAATTTGTGGATGATTTTATTATTCTTTCTTCTATCGCTATAAGTCTTTTGCCAATTGTGTTTAATTGTTATCTCATTTGGGGCGGTGGGGTAGCCTTAATGGTTAAAGCGTTGGCTCGCCGCTGAAGACCAGGGTTCGAACTCCCCACATGGGTAGAATGTGTGTCCCCACGTGATGTTGCTGGAATATTGCTAAAGCGGCGTAAAACTCAGTCTGTCAGTCAGTGTTATTATCTCCATTTGAACATATTGATGTCTCAAATCCTTTCTAATTTGGTGCAAACTACCTTTACCATGCTTCTTTGTTCTCTTATTGCAGATTGAGCTTCGACGAGAGCTGGAGTTTACTCGGCACTCTGATGTTGAAATATATCAATTACCCTATAAACACACATTATTTTTTTAAGACGACTTACGACCATACCACCTAACTGATGATTTACAGCACAATCACAGAGAAACTTTCAGTCATCGGAAAGGGATGTCACATCATAATGGATGAACGAACGATCCCAATTTATCACAAAGGGTTATAAAGCAATGAGCGTGTCCGGCGATCGCGCGTTTTCTGGAGCAGAACTCCCAAACAATATTGTATATTTCTTGCTGGACAGATCATTACACCGATTAAATTATTAGCTGGGTTTTATGAGGTTTGTCAATGTTTTATGGCGGCGGTAACCAATTGAATCTGGACCAGACAATCCAGTGATGAACAGCATGAGCATCGATCTGTTCTAACCAAATCTAACCCGATCTTCACGGGTCTACACTATAACGTCATGCTCAATTCGTCCTGGCCCAGAGCCGGGTTTTAATGGTAACGGGTTATTTCACCCCAAACACGTTTTCCCCAGCACAGTTTCACCCCATTCAGTATTTTATTTCAGTATTTTTTTTATCTATGTATAGTGTCTAAACAGCATATTCAGATTGCTTGAATAATGTATCAGCTCATATTGGCTGTGTTGGATCGGGTGAAGTCCTTCTTTGACTTGTGGAGAGTTCCTTGTCTGTATACTGTGTCCAGAGGTCAAGAAGCTTTTCGTGGATCTTCTTGAATTTCTGCCTATTGTCTCGTGATAGAAGACCATTCGAACCAGGTACACTTGGGTTTTCGCTTGGTCAGCCTCACTTCTCAAAAGTGGCACAAGTACGCTTCCTTGATATTTATGAAAACATTGCCTAATTAGGATTAACAGATTTAAGTGGCTTTTGCCCTCATACAGGAAATAGCGGTTCTGTGACAGGTCCCCTATAAGTCATATTTTACGATCCAGTGCCCCTGCGGAAGTAATAATATTGTTGGAATGATGGTGGACCATCATTCGACGTCTGTAAAACTATTAGTGAAAGTAGGAGGTGCTTTGTCGAATTCCTCGAATGGGAAGCGGGGTGGATTCCCTCTGTTCTATACAATATGCATTGCTGCAATATATATATTTCCAATTGCGTACACATATTTTTTAATTTTTTTCTACTGCATGTGGAAGGTGTCCGTGGATACTGGTTCGGCTGTTTCTGTCTTCTTGTCGACTAGTATGCTTCCAGGTCTTGTAGACGACCTCCCAGAGAAACACAGCGGCTAGCAAAAGGTAGGTCCACCTTTGGACTGATTCTTCCATCTGCCACACCTTCTTGATCCTCCTCGACGCTTTCTAATTCCTCCTGCAGTTTGTCGTTGTCCAGCCTAGACAAGATGTCGACCAACAAATTCGCGGTTTGCTCTGCACGAGCCTCGATCTTCCCCAGACGATCGTGGAAGTCCTGGATAGTTGGTTTTGGAGCGGGAAAGAGGGTCGACGGTTCTGTGGAGTGGGAAACGGTTCTGTGTGGGGGCTCTCGCCGTAGCTCATAGAGCCTTTTGGACCCGATACCGGAGCTCTTTTTGACCTCGGCTGCCTGGAGCATACCGTGATTGGGCACGAATTTCGTCGATCTCGTGGGAGGACAAATCCGTCTTGGTGGCATGGCTGTTGTTTCCCTGGGTATATTTATCCCATACTTTTCTATATGTCAATCTGGAAATCCCATCCGCCCTAGATACCTATTTTGGAGTCCCAATCTTCTCCCATCCTCCCTACAAACCAGGAAATACAATACAGAACTGGGAATTTGCTAGAAAATATATCTCCTTCCCGCTTTATTTCTTCTCCTCCTTGGCAATTAGTGAGGCCACAAGTTGACCCTCCACTAACAACATTTAAAACATCAGAAACTAATGAATTACAATATGAACAAGAATTTTATCAGATAGAAAGTATTACAGATGCATCGAAGGGTGGTGGTGCAGTGGCTTGTGTCACTGTCATTGGATCCAGAACAATATCTTCTACATTACCCAATTACAGTTCAATTTTCACAGATGACGTAAACGCAATACTAGCAACTCTTAAATATATTAATAGACAACCTAAATATAAACAGTATATAGTCCTTTCAGACTCTTTCGTGCCTTCAGTCTATAAAAAAATCTCTCTGGTAAACATCCACCTTTAATCGACAAAATTGAATCATATAATGATCTTGCTACTGGCCAATACGAAATCGTTCTCTTTTGGTTAAGTAGTATACACAATGGGCCTATGGGACCAGGTCTAAAGAGAGAGAGGTTCCTGGTTCCTGATATTGCCGAAATATTGGTAAGATCAGAGTTAAACATAACTCACTTACTGACAGAAGTACCTGCCAGAACAACGTATTCTTCATTTGTGTTCTTCCGTACCAGTTTTTGTAGCAGGAATATACACAGATATAACAGTATTTGTACCACGGCTATTGTTGCAACCGAATAATGCAACATTTGTGGTTCAAAGACTGACATCAGTTGTCCTGTAGCTAGTGCTACAAATGTCGTCCCTGCTAGGTCACAGAATGTAAAGACCGCACAAACAGTATTGTTCACCCTAATATTTTCCACACACCATGCTATCAGTCCTGCATAGAATGGAGCATAGAACAGTGCCAGAACATGGGAACACGACCACAAGTAAAGCAAACTGATTTCACCAGTAAATATCAGAGACACAGATGCCACTAGCAGCCCTGCAAGACATGTAGTGATCAGACATGACTGAGAAACAAAGAAACTGACAAACACACCGCCAACACGCCCAAACATTGTCACGGCATAAAACGACGACGTCAGATAGGCCAACGTGCTCTCGGGCACATGAAGACGGCTGTGAGTTCCAAAGAGCACCAGTAGTGACCCGTACACGAAATTTGTGCCACCCCCAATAAACATTAAGAAGAAAAGAAGACCGATTAAAATAAGTTCTATTTTCCCAAATGATTTGTTTTCCTTCTGGCATGAACTCTGCACCGGGTCGTTCTTTCCTCCATAATGTAAAACAGCTAGAAGAATGACAAGAATCAGTCCACATAAAACAAATATCAGGTATGCATATATAATCTTTGACCCGGACTCGTCACATTGGTCTGTCGTAAGCTCCAAATCCTCGCCTGTAGTGTTGGATCTGTTTCGGTAGGGACTGATGCTGCTAAGAAATGGGGAGATCGTCAACGGGCCGAGGATGTGTCCACCACAAGCTGCCAGTCCCAACAGGTGAAAGGGTATGGTACTTTCGTGGCTTAACTCACCGGTTCTGGCAACACAGGCTGGAAGGAGAACACATATTTTTTATTATCTGTTTTAATATTGCATATTGTTATGTTTTTAATGTAAGAAATTATTGCCATCAAACAGTGTAATTCAAAAAGCACCATGTTTTCAATCCGCAAATGGTGAATGTTATGATCTTGAATGGGGAGTGATTTGATCTTGATGACGGACCTGATCGTCCTATCTTGGTGTCCATATTGTTAAAATTACTGTAAAACAATCTTTTTTCATGGGTTCAGCGAAATAATGTTTTACAACTTTTGGTCGACGTTGGAATAAAAAAAATTAACTTTTTGAAAGAGTGTAACTCGTAAACAAATTGGGTCAATGGCTGGAATAGACTACTGTCGTTAAACCAATAAACAAAGTATCAGATTAACTAGGACCTGGATCGTACTATCCCAGTTTCTATGTTCTGAACATTTCTGTAAACCCTTTTTACTGTCATGGTGTCCATTTTCTAAAGATTACTGTAAACCATTCCATTCTGTCATGGGTTCAGTTAAGTAATGTTTTAAAAGGTTTGGTCGATGTTGAAATAGAACACGTCAGTTTCATTCGTTTTCAGGGGCGTAGTTATCGTTATGGAAAAAAGCCCTGGCTTACACATGATTGTTGCTTAAAAGGTTGGGCAAGCCCTCAATAGTCAATACTATCTAAATATAAAGCTTTGCAACCTATTGGGCTTACACGAAAAACTTGGCTTGGTACGCGCCTGGGCCCTTATTCTCGAAACGTTCGAACTTTGATCGTAGCCAATGTGCTAAGAATGGGCTTAAGAAGTTCGTAGGGCTACGAACGTTTCAAGAATAGCTAGCCTGATTTTTAACGAGTTTTTCTTGTGTCGTTCATTAAACCAATAAACCAACTATCACATTTACTAACCACTGATTGCAACACCTCCTGCAAGTCCCAATCCAAAACTCGCAGCTGTGGCCATCCAGAAGGAGGTGCTCAGCGGTATCACCAACACCAGGCCACTGCCAAGGAGACATCCCATCATCAGTGTATTATCACAGAACACTGCATGTAACGGCGCGTACAGCAAACAACCTCCTGTCTTGGTGCCAACGTACAAGGGAAACAGGGTGCTGATGGTTTGAACACTAACGGAGTACAGGCAGTGAAGGTCCTGTAGACTTGGCCCAAAGCAGCTGTCAATTATTCCCTGAAGAACACGAAGCACCGACTTAAGCAACCGTGGTCAAAATGCAAATATAATAGCGCCATTCAATGTGAATCGTTTTTTCCCGCCAAAGGGTCAGTTGAACAATATATTCGCTCGGGAAAAATACAACATCTAAGCACTCGTGCTCGTGTTGTAAACATAGTATGATATGGGCACGAATATAATATTCTATTTATTACCCAAGTCGTCAAATTGATGAAAATAAAGCCAAATCTACTTTCAAACACAGGCTGCCTACCCGCCGTCATCGCTTGTAGAACTCATCGTCATAGAAGAAACGTGACGTCATAGCATTGTTCATGACGTCAGGTCACCATGACAAAGTGATATTTTGCCCAAGGGCATCGTATGAAAAATACGAACCCCGATATTTTCGCCCTCGTAGGTAATAAATACATATATAAGATTCGGGTTATACGGTTCATAGTTGCCCATCAGTCATGTATCAAGCAATTAGTGAAACAAGATCACGCCGGGCAGTTCTTAAACTCCTTACTCTAATACTTCTAGGAGAGCAGGAGGCTAGGTTTAAAGTCGACCTAATTCTCCCATCTCTTGTATGGACATATTGTAGCTCTTTGGAAAGCTTTTTGTATATAGATTATGATGTGCCCTGATGTAGTGGCCAAAAGGGGTCCCATTTTTTAAAAACACCCTGTTTTGTTTGGTTATTACTCAGATCAGAAATATGGGAAGCCAAATATTCATTATACGATCTGCAATTATGAAATACAATGAAGCATTTATCAGATACTCTTAAATGTGTTTACCTGGAGCTAACAAACTGCCCCTATTTGTCAGAGTGAGTTTAATTTTATGCGGCATTCAGCAATATTCTAGCTATATGGCGGCGGTCTGTAAAAAATCAAGTCCGATAAGGCAATCCAGCAATCAACAGCATGAGCATCGATCTACGCAATTGGGAACCGATGACATGTGTCAACCAAGTCGGCAAGCCTGACAACCCGATCCCGTTAGTCGCCTCTTACGACAAGCATGGGTTACTGAAGATCAATTCTAACCCGGATATTCACGGGTACCATTTGTCAGAAATAATGGGGTTTTTTGCGAAAAAAATTTTGTTAATAAAGATATTAATTATTCAATTTAAATCTTACTTATAATACATACAATGATAATACATAATACTTACATAATTGTTTCAAATATATTATTGTGAAATGCAATTAATCATTGCACAATGTGTTTTTTGGGGGGGGTTGCGATTGTGCTATTCATATATTTACAAGACATATTTATCAACACTTTCAAACAATTAAATTTCCAACAAAAACAATTAATATTTATAATTGAACTGGTTAAAAGATCATTCGCTGTTTTTACACTGAAATATTTATCCATTGAGGACATGCTTGATCGTGATTATTTCATCACAAATGATACAGAATGGAGAATCCTCGCCTTTCAACAGGTACTCATGAGTATGTCTAGAATTCCTAATACTTCATCCTCACATAATAACCTATTCAAATCTAGACTGACAACCCAAGTAGGTATAACATTAAAAACGAAATTTGACATTCATACTTTCTTTACTCACTCAAATCTCAACATGTATAAATGTAACTGTTTTGAGTGAATATCTGTGGATAATGTCATCTGAAAATGTTCAATCAACATCAACATCAGTGACGCAACAACGACATCAAACAAAGGAGTGGTCACTTGCAGTCAATATCGTGTGTGTCCACCGTGCGCTGCAAGATGTGCTCGGAGTCTCTGGGATATTGAATGACACAAATTTCTTAGGAACAGCTATGGGATGGTCTACCAGTGATGTTAAAGGGTCTGTGTCAATTCAGCAATTGGCCTTGGTGTCACAAGTTGATTTCGAACTCTCCGTCCAAGTTCATCCCACAGATTCTCGATTGGGTTCATGTCTGGTCCCAATAAGGGCCAGTCCACCAGACGAACATTCTCATTATTCCAAAAATCCCTTGTTACCCTGGCTGCATGGGGATGTGCATTATCATGCTGAAACACAAAATGGTTACGACCGCCATGTTGATCCATCATTGTGAGTACAGCCGGACGAGGGATATTGTCCACATAACGTTGATCATTCAGACTGCCGTTAACCACTACGATCTGGGATCGGAAGTTGGCATTGTTAGCACACCAGATCATGAGACCACCCCCTTCCAAAACGATCATGTTCAAGGACACAGTTTGGCGCAAGTCTTTCTTCTCGACGTCGATAAATCCATTGACGTCCATCTGCAAAGGACACGTTAAACCTGGATTTATCTGAGAAAATGACATCTCACCGTTAGCTGCCTATCAATGTCTGGCAACTTTGTGGCGATGCAATAAGTTTGGACCACGGTACGGGCGACGACACCGGATGTTGGAGGCAGCAAGGTGTCTCCGCACCGTTTCGGCGCTGACATGACGATTCGCAAGTGTGTACATCGGATATTGCGGTCCTGTTGAACTGTCGTCACAGGTGGTGTACCAGGTCGCGGACAATCAGCAACACTTCCGATGGCCCAAAAACGTTGTCTGAGTCGACCAACAGTGTATGGATGCACATTAAAGTGCCTGGCAATCATCACATCTGAAGCACCTTGGCTAACCATACCGATAGCCTGATTCCTTTCGTCTTGTGTCAAGCGTGGCATTTTCTCAAAGTGATTCAGTTTCACAATTCCTTGGGCTTTGAAAGGACCTGGATGCAGGTAATGCACGTACACAATGTGTTTCATGAATGTGGTTGTGTATACGAGAAATGTGAGAGGTTCAGTTTTAAGCTTCGAAGTTCATGTGAGGCGAATGTTCGGGGACTCGAACTCAAAATGGTCTATAATAACAGCCTTTTATCCCTACATCCTCTGTATTGAAGGGAAAAAATCTTCAATAGAACCGTTGTAAGTTCCAGGACAACAAATACCAATTTCGTTTTAATGGCTTTCAGTACAATCACAAACAGCTGAAATGATGGTGTAAATCAAGCTGGGTCTATGCGGGAAGCAAAAGTGCCGTAAGTCCCCAAGGTCCTTAGTATGGTTATCTACCTTCAGTTGTTGGCGATCTATATCCTGTTTATATATTGTATTTACTTGTTTGTTTAGCATCTATGTCTGTAATATTAGTTTGTTTTAACTGACAAGATTTTTCATCTTAGTTTCTGTATCATGGAGTGTCACCTAGGCATGTCCAACAGAACCATATACCAACAAGCGTCGATGGGTCGGAGAATGTTGACAATGAGACTAACAGTTGAAAGAGACGTTGTTTTTCCAACACATTGCAACACTGATTGGATGCTTTTGTGAAATGGAAAAAAACACAAAAACTTTTCAAAACAAAGACAAATGATTTTTTGATATTGCTGAAAAAACGGTGAGGTGAATAAACATTCAGGAAATTGTGCAAATATTCGACTACTCTTTCCCCCCTCATCAAAGTGGAGTATATCTGGAACATTTAGAATGTTAATAATTAATATAGCAGTCGCGACACGAGGTGGGTACGAAAATGTTTAATACTCGGTAATATTTCTACCACTTTCAGATTCAATGCAAAATACAAAGACATATTTGAAAAATACTTATCCCAATAATGGCGCAATCAAACTAATGCATATTGCATGGCATACATAACGATAAAAATATTTCAAACAAAAGGGCATTGGCATTTTGATTGTTGGTCTGACAATCTGAGTCTAACTAATAACAAATCATGTATCACAATAACAGTTGTAGATAATGATACATTATAGTATAGCAAGGACTGACTAAGTGTTGATTACTTACATCAAAAGCCGCAATGGCTAGAAGTAAGGCCATCTCTAAATACGGACATGGCGTGGATTTCAAGGTTCCCATTTTTGATTGAATACTCCTCGTGTCCTGGACTGAAGTATATATGTAGTAACTATTTTCTGTTTGCATAATATTGCTGATGTCAAGCAAAATCGATTAATATCTTCTCGAGTGTGTAAAAAATTAACAATATTTGTCATGGTCTGATGTCTATCACAAACTCTATCCCATCCAATCAATATTCTTTTTGAGATGCAAATGCATAGGATCGCTACACCAGGATGATCACACTATCATCAGACAAGCATGAGTTTTATAATTAGATTTATGCTGACTTCAGGCCACAATGGTACATATGCAACAGAAGCAACCATCAGCGCTACTATTTTAGTTAGACAGGACGTCATACACAGTAATACACTGACACAATTAAACACCAGCTTTAAGCCGTTGCTATTCGCCTTACCTTGCATAGTGTGCTCTCTATTTATTCCACTATTTATTAAAACCGTAAGGTCAAGTACCTAACCTCAATGGGGGCGTACACGCACAAACAATAAGAGGAACGTTATTGAACATTATATTTCCGATTATAACTTACGTGGCTTTAATGATGATTCAAACTCCAGCTACTGGAACATATTCTGCCCTTGATCTGTCCCTTGCAGACTCCATTAAACCTGTGACACTTCACCAAGGCTGGTCATTACATGTATTGACGACTTAGAAAATGACCTTTTCAGGAATATTGAATATGCTATAGAGTTGTTTTAAGATATATTAAAGCCACCCATTTGTAAACCATGGTTTAGTGATGAATGCAAACATGCCAGAAATGAAAAAGGCAGACAAATATTTTCGCCCACAGTCCATGATTTGAACAAATTTCAAATTTCAAATGGCAAGGCTCGACGAGCTTTAACACAAAAGATACGTCTGTCTTGGAGTGAGTGAGTTACAATTTTACGTCGCATCTGCATAATTTCAGTCAGACGGAGTAGACAAAAACTGCAAATATACACAAGTCCATCTTCAGTATCTGTGATATTCTGATGTAGTTCGTCAATAGGTTTCTATATTCTTTCATGTTTAAGTGTCATGAATGTAGCACGTGATTTAGTCACAATATGGCTGAAATACTGCCGATGAGACTAGAAGTCGTAAGTCACTTTGGTTGGCGCGCAAGATATGTAAATCATATTACATCCAACAACGATACCAAACGCAGGAATCCTAGGCTTTCCTAACGATTTGTATAGATGTAACCGGAGTGGTCACGGAGATAGCACAACAGCGGGTGGATTTGGCAGATTTCATGGCAAATAGAGCAATAAAGAAGGCCGTGTGGAAATCAATATATATTCATAGAACAATACAAGTGAAGGTAAACAATAAATGTACAATCTTGAATAATCAATACAACTATTACTTCAGCAGTTCATTTTAGATATGCGCAAAGAACTTAGTTAAGCACCGCCTGGCATATCTCACGATTAAATGAGCCCCAATCTTAACCCTTTGGAGTATATCTGTGACATGATTGGTGCAACAAAGGAACCCACTTGGCCAAATTGGAAGCTGCTTTGCACGAGGAATGGCTTAGGCAGCCCTTCAGAGGATCAGGTGGCTGACAGGGGGTATGAGGTGGAGCGTGTTGTATGTTACCATTCTATTGTATGTGAACATACGTATTCCAATCACTAACCTCATCAAACGAACGCCTCCGTGGTGTAGTGGTTAGAGCGTCCGCCCGGAGAGCGGAAGGTCGCTGGTTCGATCCCCGACCGCGTCATACCAAAAGACGTTTAAATATGGTGAAATTGGGTTTAACGTCGTGCTTGAGAATATTTCGCTCATATGACGACGTGCATGCGTGTGTATGTGTAGGTGCAGCTGCTTGTACTAGCCCAGACTGAAGTTGGTTTTATAGTGCTAGCCCACTGAGATACTATGCCGCAGTAAAGCATGAATACCCGACTCAGACACATTATACTGACTCCGAGCCGACCAGTCTTTGTTGTACCCATTAATGCCGAGCGCCAGGCAGGGACCAACAAGTACCATATTTTAACGTCTTTTTGGTATGACGCGGTCGAGGATCGAACCCGCGACCTTCCGCTCTCCGGGCGGACGCTCTAACCACTACATCACGGAGGCGGTCCTGGACCAACAGCATGAGCATCGATCTACGCAACTGAGATACGATGACATGTGTCAACCAAGTCAGCAAGCCTGACCACCCGATCCCGTTAGTCGCCTCTTACGACAAGCATGGGTTCAGATCAATGTTAACCCGAATCTTCTCTGGTCGCTTACTTTAGTAATTACTGGAGAGTAATCAATGGTATTGTTGTCAGTGGCGGGTTACTTTGGTTATAGAGTACAATTCACAATCTGCAGACGTATATTTGACTGTCAAAAGGAAAATGATTATGGTGGTGCATAATTTAATTTCATTACTAAAGTAGCTGCAGGGCATTTTCTGCTTTTCAGGTCCCAGATATTTATGAAACGGGAAATGTGTTTTTAAAACTCAAATCCTCCTTGGCAAATAGTTAGACCACAAGTCGACCTAACATTAACATCGTTTAAAAAATCAGAAACAAATGACTTACAATATAAACAAGAATATAATCAATTAAAAAGTAAATATAATACATATAAATCCTTATTTTTCAGATGGGTCCAAGTATGGTGGCGCAGTTGCTTGTACCACTGTCATTGGGTCCAAACAATTTCTTCCAGATTACCCAATGACAGTTCAATTTTCACAGCAGAAGCAAACGCAATACGTACAGCTCTTAAATATATAAATAGACATCCTAAATATTAACAGTATATCATATTTTCCGACTCTCTTTCTTGCCTTCAGGCTATTAAAAATCTTTCTTGTAAACATCCACTTTTATTAGAAATAATACAATTATATAATGATCTTGCAACTGACCAATACGACATCGTCTTCTGTTGGTTACTCAGCCACGTTGGCATTTCTGGGAATACTTTGGCCGATCTTGCTGCCAAGGCAGCACTCCACAAATCTGTGACACCACTTCAGATCCCATACTCTGATTACAAAGCTGCTATTAGATCTTATATCTGTGATCTGATGCAAATGATGTGGGACACCCAGAAGGTATCAATAAATTACATGAAATAAAACCAACTATCGGTTACACCTATTTGGGTTGTCAGTCCAGATTTGAGGAGGTCATCATACGACGATGTCGTATTGGCCACACAAGATATACTCATGAGAACCTATTAAAAGGTGAGGATCCTCCGTTTTGTATCCTTTGTGATGAAAGAATCACGGTCAAGCATGTCCTGCTTAACTGTGTTGAATATTCCATCACAAGGGATAACTATTTTAAATAACGAACCATGAAGGATCTTTTTACTAATATAAGTTCTCATTTATTTATTGCATTTTTAAAAGAATTAGACTTGATAACCGATTTGTAAATAGATACATATTTTATCATTGGTAGTTTAGATTAGTAACATAGATTGTTAGTGGCTGTACCCTCAAATGGGGTTGAAGTAGCGTAAAACCATGGTCCTCCTGAGAGGGTACGTAAGTCCCGAAACATTCAAAGGAAATTTAAATTTACCAGCGGTTTTAAATGTAGTATTTTTGTCATTTCAATTTTGGCTAAATTTGACTTCAATCGCCGCGGCTGAAGGGATGATATATATCCAACTAGGGTCCATGCAGGTAGCCAAAGTACTGTAAGTCCCCATGGTCCCTAGTATGGTGATCTACCTTCAGTTGTGGGCGATCTATAGCCAGTTTTTATATTGTATTGTCCAAATAGTGCTATTAGTTTTAATTTTCCACACTAGTTTTATTTGTAATTGTGATATTCTAGTTGTTTTACTGTCCTTCGTCGACCAGTTTTTATAATATACATCTATTCCATTTCAATGTCACATATGTTCTCGTCACGATATGGCTGAAATATTGCCGATGTGACGTTAAATAACTCACTCACTCACTTTAAAACTCAAAAAGTATTTTAGTGTATTTTCATTATGAATAGATAAGAAGAAGTTAACATCCAGTCAAAGGGCCTGTTATAACGAGTTTAAGAATTAGGCATAGATCTGATACATTTCAAAGATTTCTTTGTTGTTCAACGCCGCACTCGGTAATATTCCAGCCCTATTCACCGACTGTATGTAAAAAGTCGAATCTGAAACAGACTTGCCAGTGATCAACATCATGAGCATCTTGGCTAGTGGGATGTCATCCAAGTCAACGAATCTGACCACCTGATCCCGTTAACCGCTCTTACCATAAACATGGTTTTTGAAGACCATAAGGAATTTTAACACGAAGACATGCACAGGTACCCGTGAAGGTCCGGGTTAGAATAAACCTTCAGTAACCCATGCTTGTCGTAAGAGGCGACTAACGGGATCGGGTGGTCAGGCTCACTGACTGGGTTGACACATGTCATCGGTTCCCAATTGCGTAGATCGATGCTCATGCTGTTGATCACTGGATAGTCTGGTCCAGACTCGATTATTTACGAACCGCCGCCATATAGCTGGAATATTGCAGAGTGCAGCGTAAACCTAAACTCACTCACTCATTCATTCACAAGCACAGGCTACTGGAGCACGGGTTATATTTCAAAGGTGATACAAGTTCGAGTTAATCTTTGTGTCACTGTTGAAACAGGTAAAGCCAGTTTACTTATCAGATATGACCAATTTTATGTAGACTGTAAGACGAAGACGAATTGGAAAATCGTGTGAGACTCCTCTGATGATGAGTGGTGCGTACAACTTATTGTGCATATGTTCAGTCTACATTGATTCCAATCAGAATCTCAAAACATAAGACAGATAATCATGCTTGAAAAAACAATGGAAAAGTGGGGCCAAGACACATTGCTGTCTGTTTTGAGAAACGTTTTATACGAAATGCCTCGGCATATGGTGCAAGTCCATTCAAATGAACCAACAGTCACCAGGTTTTTGTTCATGACGAAAAAAGTGCGAAAGAAAAAAGATCCGTGGGAGAAGTGGACTTCAATCACAATTTTTCAGTATTTACCAATTTATCATTC